GTGGGATGCTCATGGGATCTTGCTTTTTTGGGGAAGAAACAGGCGGAGGCAATAGGACATACAGCCGCGCAAATGATGTGATGTTTGTTTGTTTCCATGTGTCAAACCAAGCCAGGCACAGTCTGGCATCGTGCTCCAAACGGGCCAAGCCGGTGCCATCAGGTGAACCGGCTGGAAAAAAACCGGCTGAATAAGTAGACGATGCTACTCTGGTAGTATGTTCTTATATAAATGTGGAACAAAAAACAAACAAATACGTATATAACTGATAGTAAAACTGTGAATGATTCATATCCTGTGTCTGTGTCAAAATGAACAGCTTGTCTGGCAATTGTCATCAAACATTATGTTTCCGTGAAAATGGCAACAGTCCCTCCCGCTTACCTATACTAGTATGGCACAGAAATATATTCCTAACAAAAATTCCATGAACATGGCCGGTTTTAGCCATTGGAATACAGTAGATTATTATATTATTATATATATATCAAGGCACGGAATATGATCTGTGCTGATCGGATCGGATCAATGGGTGTTGCCTCTTAATAAACACCAAAGAAGTGAACGGAAGATAGGCTCACCCCACCAGTCCCAGCATCTGCTCTGCTTGTCTTCATTCTCATACCAACCTGGTGGTTCACAAATTGTGCACACGGCGTCATCTTGAGAACCAATAGGCAGTCAATCGAATGACATGTCTTGCAACTGCTGAGCAACTGTTGTTAGTACGTATGTGGTTCCCATGACACAGGGCACATGTTGGCAGCATGCGACCCTCCCTTCAGCTAGCCGATTTTGGGTTCAAACAGTTCGACTACACCCTGGAAAATTAACATGGAACCTGAAAACAACTGGGTTGATAGTTTCCTACCCGGTACCTTACCAAGGGGGTGAACAGAGCGGGATCGATCAGTGCGATGTGGTGTAGAGGAACATTGCCTTCCAAAGGTCCAGCTTCCCATGTTAAATCCTTCATCTTCCCGGGTGTGTGCTCAACGTCGAATGATCCACCTCATTCACTCTCCAAGTGTGCCACCGTGGACACCCAGCTGCCCTGCTCCATTCGAGGTCACCTCTCTGGACAAAGCCCACATGAAAAACCTGCTCATCAACCGGACGACACGCCAGGCGCCCGCGGAGCCACCGCCCGCGGAGCCACCGCCCACCGCCTCGGGCCAGTAATGCCTTCCGCACACCCGGGAAGGCGCCTGCGAACACCGAGAGCGGCTTTTTGGTCACGGCGGTGCGTGAAAAGCGGTCAGGGAATGGTGATGGCTGTAGGTCAGTGCAGGGAATAGACGGTTCGCAACCGAATTTGGCGTGGCCCTTTCCATCGTTAGACTCTATACTTAGAACTTGAGGACTTTGTCTCTTGGCTTTTTGTCTCACTTGAACAACGCCCTCCTGATACCTTTTTTTCCGCTCCAGGTTATTTCAAGTTCTCACGAAGTGCTGAGAGGTCTCGAGAAACCCGCATGATGAAGCTGTAGATTTCTCAAAAAGCACCAGCTGTCATCTCAGAACACCCTGTCCATCCCTGTCCTGTTTCTTGTTGAGGGCAGCTTCAGAAACTTCGAACCAACCCGAAAAACTAGGTCAAACCACGCAACTTGGGAACCCCCTTATGATTGCACGCATTTGCGAGGAACTGTTCATAAACAAGTCTGGGAATGACCCTACGAAATACCCTACTGATGTGAAAATCCATGATGTGAACTGTGAACATTTCATAACATTTCCATGAATTGGAAATCATTGAACATCAATCAGGTTTTCATGACCCTGCTGATCGCATCAGTTCTCGTGTGAAAACGATTGAAGTCTCTGGATGGATCCAAATAGATCCAAGTCTGTGCCTATCGAAGAGGGACGGCAGTTTAACTCACTGGCACAAACCAATGCACAACCTGCACTGGGCAGTTTAAAAGCACCGTATGACCGGATGACCAACGTGTTCGACAGACCTGGCATGTTCCATCAGGAGAGTGGGGTTTGTCTATCATTGCAACAAAAAATGTACCCACCCCATGATTCTTCTACATTGCAGATCCACAGGCCATTGCCTGTGATGCAGAAGACACGGGTCTCTGGTGTGAGGCCATCTCAGCGCGGACACGAGCATGTGAGGAGCTATGCATGGAGGGCAGCAAAACATCTGGTCACTATGTGTTGCCCTTTTGAACATAGGGAAGCCTACTCTCTGGTAAACCACTTGCAACTACAAACTGACGAGTGTCTACTTCCGTGGCTCTCTGCAGAGATCAACAGGATGAAACTTTTCAAACCAATCTTCTACAAAGTATAAGTATCCATCCACCAGTCTTCGCAAGTAAAACTAAGTGGTACAAGAATGAACCTCACTCATCTGGGTGTGTGTTTTCGGACAGGGAGACCCCCGAAACCTCGTCCCAGTCGGTCGACTGGTCCGCCGAGTGACTCCGCCGCTTCCAGTCCTCCAGCGCGGTCGGCCCGGTGCCGGGCACCGGGGCGGGCTGCGCCGCTTTCATCTGCGGGAGGGGACAGAGAGGACGAGCGAGAAGAACATGAGAAATCTGATTGAGATGATTGAGTTGGTGAGATAATGTATGTGCAAAACCTGTTGGCTTGGCTTGGTCCATCTTCTGTCCATTCTTCGTCGCTGCGACATGATTCGGCATGTTCTCCAAGCTGCGGTTCCTAAGAGTCGGATGTTTGGTGTTTCCAAGTCAACATGGACCCAGCAAAAGGGCGGACAAACCTTATGGCGGCACTACCACTCAATGACTACCACTGCGACCATCCAGTCATCCCAGGCCTTGCTACTTGATGTCGCATGCAAGTAGTCTGGAAGTAGGTGAGCAAACAAAAAAAAATATTCACTGGGATGAGACCCTGTGCATTAACACTATTTCATTCATTCTAGTGATTCATGAACTGGAACCCGCGGTAAAGAAGGAACAGCTGATATCCAATCAAGGAGTACACTCGAGACATCCCACAGGCTTCCTGACAAGCACCGCCAAAAGGCATCAAAAGGCTGAATCCCAGGAGACCTCCTTTTGACCTGCCCCGAACTATACGCATTCTCGGAGCAAACACCTCACGAGATGCCATTCTGAGATCGGTTGCTCGACATCGTCCGTGGAGACCAGCAAATCCTTTGGGTCCGTGGAGACTAACCCCACGTTTGGATGGTCGAGACGTATGTCTAAAAATGTTCCTGTTTTCCGTCTGATCTACTGACTGGTAATGTAAGAATATGTAGAACCATGCACACACAGGCTGTGTTCCTTTAAGATGGATATGGGTCCGATTTTAGGATCGGCAAGGACGAGGGGTATGCCAACCTCTATGCTCTTCAATGGCCAGGCAGTTGACCCAACAATCGAGGTAAGCCCAGACAACACCCCTTGGATTTGGTTCCCCTCAGGTCGTCATAGACGGTCCTGGTGTTCGGTGGACACGTCCACCTCCCGCAGAGTGCCTAGCCTTTGTGGGACCTGCGGGCGACGGAGCAACGGAGCAGGGCTGCCCGGTGGGCGCGGTGCCATCGCCACAGGTGCCACAGGCTCTGGGATCGATCGAAGAACGCAGCAAACAAGCAGGGCTTTTCGCCATGTCTTTTTTTGTTAACCAACATCCAAGAGTTCCTAAAAGGGATGCCTACTGACTATTGGAGGGAAGGACGTGCCCATTCTCCAGTGTCTGAGAAGGTCTACACAGTAGATAGCACCTCTTTGGAACTCCTGGCTCATGCATTTTCACGGCTGGAAGCAGTCCTTCAGTCCTTCACGTCAATCCTCAGAGGCTCAACTGCTGCATCCGATTTGGCTGGACTGATACGGTGCGCTCCCGCGCACACAGGCGTTGAAATGCCATCACAGGTGGACTGGCATGCGTCAACTGCCTCGGCGCCCTCGGCGCCGCACATGTGCTACTCCGACATCGTGTCGTCCCACTGTCTGTTGAAACTCTTGGGAGCCACCCACACCCCAAATATACGTATATCGTATAACTGTCTCTTTTCACACCCTTGTCGACCCATTGATCAAAGAACAATCAGCTGAAACAAAATGTTACACATATACATGCATGTATATATTTATAATATATATTTTTTAAATAGCCAAATTGGGAAGTGGTAGTCTGATTCTATGTCCTGCATGGAATATTTGTGATTCTTTGGGCAGCACTTGGACATGACCTAGCCCACCATCGACCATGACAAAGAGACCCTTTGAATACCGGAAGAAATGGACATGGTCCCACCCGGACCCATGGTCGAGGTGGTTAATGCACACCCCTTCACCTTTAAGGGGCTATTGACACACCGAAACGGCACTAATGTCTTAGTGGAGTGACATGGACTGGTGTGAGGAGACGTCAGGAACGAGTGACGTGGTACAAGGAAGGCCAGGGCATAAAGTTCAAATGCGTTTGAACAGATATAGTGATCCCCAAAATAGATAGTGGCACGGTTTCCAATACATGTTGAAAGGGATTTTACTTCTATATATCATACATAAGGTTTATGTCATAAACCAAATAAACAAGTCTGGAAATTAAAGTGACTATATATATATATATACATTGCAAAGAATGGAATCAAACATTAGTGCCTCGCGACCTTAAAATCTGTTGCCAACCTTCGGAAATGCTTCTTGGAGGTGTCCATCCGAAATCCACACATGTGCAGTGTACATGTTACATGATGGTACCCGCGTTGCGCGGGTAGCTCGCAGCCAGCGCACTGCTTGACAGACTGCTGCTGGAGCATCCATTCGCAAATGCGAAGCTGTGGCGCAGCTGTCCGTGGACCCCCTCTGTGAGCTGTGGAAAGAGATGGAAAGATTCTTTCTGTGATAGTGTGATACCTGACTTACATTGCCAAACTGGTTGGTTTGATGGGAGCGACTGGCTTAACTGGTAGAGCCCTGTCCAAGTCAATTCTTTCCTGTTCCAAAGCAGCTTTTGATGATGTTCCTCCTTCGTAGTTTGTGAAAAGTGTGAGCATTCCCATACCATCTATACCAGGTCCTGCCAGCCTGCCATTCCGATCTGCCGCCATTGTACGGACCGCTCACTGAACATCATTCGAGCTCACAGATGCTTTGCTGCCTGGCGAGGATCGAGGATCCAACCATGAAGGGTCTCAAACTCTCTCCCTGAAGGAGGGATGATCCTGAAAAGGCCGAAAAAAAGGGCTCAACCCACGACCTGGGATCGACCAAACCAAACATCATGTTGACTCTTGATGAAAAAGACGCCCCCATTGGTCTTCTAGTGGTTTTACAATCTGGGCAAAGGGTGATATTAAGCAATTGAAACAATAAATCCAAATTGACTCAGACAGTGCCTCGACGCGAGCCAGCATCGGAGGGGGTCAAGGTGTTCTTGCTGGGCCGTCGATTCGACGGGACGGACCTCGGTGGCCGCGCCGGTTTCAAACGTTTCTTGCAGCCTCTCGACTCTCGCACCTTGTGTTCCCTCTGCATTCAATATGATCTTCCCTGCCAATGAGATCATTCTTCCCACTATGAGGCCACTCTAACGCTTCAGGAGCCTGCATCCCGACAGTCCTTTTATTTGCTGTATTTGCCACAAAACAAACATGTGCCTGCATTGCGTACATCCTATGTTGGGAGAGGTGCTGAAGATCGCTTTCCTCAGCCAAAGTGTAGAGCTCAGAATCTTGGGGGTGCAAAACGGTGCAACAAAAACTATGGTTGGAACCACAATGACAAAATATAAACGTTGAAGTACTAGTGACAACTGTTATGTTTCTGCAGGCCTGTCGTTTCAAGACACAGGAACTCAGCAGGTTTAACATATGCCAGTGTTTCAATTTTCTGCTCACAGCACCACCACCATGGTGGTGCATGCACCTGAGACCCCAAATAGAATCTATTATCTTCCGACTGGTGCTCAGTAGGGAATGAGGGAATGCCCTCACTCTTGATACCTTAGAATCCATTCTCTCATTCCTTACTAAGCACCAGGACCAGAGTCAGTATCATAAATGTTATATCAAATGATATCATATACTACTTGCGTCGATACCCATGAACTTTCCACAGGGGGGGGTCTTGCATGAGATTAGATATAAATAAATGGATGCATTGACCCCCTCAGGGACTTTTTTTGGACTTTATTCTATTTGCACTTCCTTTGGCCTTGGAGAGCTGGATCCCTTCAATCCCCGAACCCCCCGGTCACACCAAGGCGCAGCGCGGCCTCGCCCGTGGTCAAGTGTGACTGCTTCGTGGCCGCGGTGCCGTGCGTGGAAGCACGCCCGTGCGTGCGGCGGTCGGGGGAGTCGGTGCCGGACGAAGCTCCACCTGCGCGGCGGAGGCGCGGGAGGCGCGGGAGGCGAGGCGAAGACGCGAGGCGTCTTAAAGGTGACTGCCAAGCTGTCCGAAGCCGTCCACCTGGTCATGGACGTCGCAACGAAGGTCGTTTCGTTGGTTGTCCAGATTTTTTGCTGCGTACCTACTGACTCCCGGTTCAGATGAAGACGCAGGAGCTCAAACTCAAATGGCCACGAGCAGCTTTAAAAGACACAACATGAATACATCGCCAGTGGCAGCTGACCTTGCTTCCTCAGCTATTCGGGCGCGACCTCGACCCCTCCAGTGCCGAGTCGGGGGCGCCTGGCGATGCATCCGACTTGCTTGGAGACCGACTGCTGCGGGGCGCACCCACTGAGACCTTGCCTTGGAACGAGCGGGAGGCTAGGCCTTCACCTAGTAACTATAGGCATCTACCTGAAAAGGGGGGAACCAAAGCCAGCGGTCCAATGTGGAATTTGGGATTGGATTGACGTTCACGGTTTCTATCGCGAACGGAAAATCCAAACCGCCCAAATGCCCAAAGAAGTACCATACCTGGTGGGAGAGAACGTCATTCTGTTGCTGATGATCTGCTGCTCCTGGTTCGCTGGTTTGGCTGCTGTTGCGGCTGTTTTGCTGCTTTTGTGCTACTGGTCTGCTGCTGGGCTAGTGCGCTGCTGGTCGCTTTCTGGTGCGCTCTAGTGCTGCTTGTTTGCTGGAAGCATGCTTAACTGCTTACAGGTCACAGTCATTAACCTTTGAAGGTCTGGTGCGTTGTTCCGATGCTTTTTCCATGAAAGTCGTTTGAACGCTAGTACCCCTGCAACTGCGCGTGATGCCGCAATGACTCGGCCATCAAAAAAAAGCGCCAGCAACCATATATTTCCACCACCCCCCACGGGGAACTCACTTCGTTCGGAGAAAACGATCACTTCAACCGTTGAGCCCTGTCGGCTTTCGGTGCGGATCCAGGATCGACGGTTTGACCTACGTGGTGTCGAACGACTGGTGGGTCACGACCGTCCTCCCGGTCTTTGGGTCGTTGAGCGTTTTTCATCGTTCTGGCGAAGGAGTGGGACGAACTGTTCGTGATGGTCCCAATCAATTTCTATCAATTTCTCATGTGATCCGCTTGTTCACCCGAACTGGCCTGATTTGGTCCATCACGGCATGCCATTTAGAAGAGTTCAAAGATGTTCAAAGGCATATTGTTGATGGGTACCGCCTGTACAGTGACTGCCACGTGGATACAACACCCACGTCTGTCGCCGCCACGGTCTTCCGGTCTTCCAACCAGTCTCACACCCTTCAACCCTTGGATCAGTTTTCTCATCAGAACATACACTCTGAGCACACATCGAGCAACGGACATGGAAGTGGAGAATGGCCCCTGGTTCGTCAAGGAAAGTCGTCTTCCAAGGAGCACTGTGTTTTAATACTCATGTCTACAGACTCTAGACACCGCTGTCACCCAATGAATGGCTGTCACCTTTCAGTGGTTGACCTGTGGGCATCCCGTGGCCAAAGGCAGGAGCTTGTGGCTGCACGAAGGCAGGAGGTGTGCACGAAGCAGCACACGCAACGCCCTACAGGTCCAAAGACCCAGTAAAACCTGGTCCTGAAAACCGAATGAAGTAGTGTAGGATCAACTACAGTAAAATGAGGTGGGAACAAGAATGTTGCAACCGCATGCAACATCAATTCACAAGGCCTCTGGCACAAGTTTTGACATTGAGAATTTGTTGTACACAGAATCACCCGAACAAGTTAGATTCTCCGTTTATAGATCAACGTGGCGGAATCACATAATATATGTTAATATATATATATATATAAGCATGGAAAATGTTGATTCTGCGCTGATAGATCAAAGTGGTGCAAATTCTTTGGCCAGTCCCTGCTCGTCTCCCCATTGCCGAGAAACTATTGCTTGGCCCAACGCTCCGATCTTCGCTGTTCCTCCTTGACGGCGGATTGTTGGTCCAGCTCAATGACAGATTTGATTAGATTTGTCTCATCATTGGCAAGCTCTTCCAGCACTGATAGGGGCAATAACCAAACCTATTGCTTTGAGGGGTTGTCTCAAGAATGACCTGATTCTCCATAGACAGTGCTTGCCGTGTTTGTTCGTCTTCTCTTCATCACTGGGCACCGGTGGATGCTTTTGGCGCGGGATCGGATCTGTGGAAGCTGGCTGCCAGCTTCCTCCGGCTGCCAGCTTCGATCCAAAGGAACCTCTGTGGCTTCTGAACACCAAAACATCCCATCCTTCTGTTTTCAAAGTCTGAAGTCCCCAACACCCTCTTCGTAGATACTTGTAGATTGTAGATATATGTAGATATGTTTGGCAAGCAAGATACGCTCTTCCATGGGCGCCCGGATAATTCCGCCGCGGAACGTGAACGGTGCTTTGACATCACCCCAAGCTGTCAAGCTTCTCACTCGGCGCTCCTGCTACCACCATACACCACGGCGCCCGGTAATTCCTGAGTGTTGACACCCGGCAATTCCGGTCGACATGGTTGCATGGTGGAAGAGGAAGCGAAGTTCATGGAGAAGAAACGAGTCCCGACTGGTGCAGCAAAATCAGCATGCACGAAGAACAGGATCTTGTGGTGCCACCTCGCTTGATGGGTAGCTTCAAGCTAAGCTCTCAGAGGGTTCAAAAGGTCAAGGATTTACCATCTGAGTTCAACATACCAATCACATCTCGCACCCGAACAAGTTGGTCATTGCTACTCTCCCTGGAAAACAACCCGCAAGCACCTCGAACAAGAAGATCATCCTGACCTTCAAAAATTACAACGGGGTACCATACCCAAACACTCCTTATGGCATACACTGTATATATCGTATATATGACATGATATGACATGTATGATCATGCATGGCATACTTGCCCATCATTGTAGTTTTTCATAGGACATCATATGACATCCATGGAGCGAGCGTGGCATGGAGCTTCGGTGACCAGCGACCTCGCGGCTTTAACCGGGGCCGGCACCAGCTCCGGGTTGTGGAACGGGCCACAAGCCTGCAAGTGGAGCCGCGGGCTTGTTGATCTTACGTGATGAGTGCGGGTCACATGACCTCTGCTCTGATGGGAAAAGACCAGATTTTGGGGTGGTTGATGATCCAAAATAGAGCTCCCGGCCACTCGCTCGGGTCAGCCGGTGGCTCACAGACCGTTTCGCCCAGCGTTTGGATTATATAAGAGCCCCGTGAAAAGATCCTTGAAGGTGAAGGGGTGTCAATTCACCGCCTTCCATGGGTCCCGGTACACACGGGAATCGACGCAGCACAAACAAACATGTGGGCAGACGTGCAATGTCAGCATGTGGGAGAGCATTGAGCCTTGGGTTTGGATTTACAACAAATCTCTGGTGGAGATAATCACACAAATATTTATGAATATTACGGATTTAAGCGAATTTGCCTGGTCAACATATTTTTTTTGGATGGGCATTGTATGGTCGACATTCGCAAGCAAACCGTCGGTACCGTGGCATGCATACTCATCACCAACGTGCCAATGTCCTGTTGAAACTGAAGAATTCAGTTCCAGGACCAGGACCGGACCAGTTCGTGACAGAACTTGAGATCCCAGGATCTTCGGTCACTTAGGCATGTAACAGGCCCAGGAAGTCACTCATTGAAGGTCCTGGTAATTAATATTGAACATGTGAGGTGTGAAGGTGACTGAAGACCGTGCCTTCCACACTGACAAATATCATTGAGGAACCACAGATTCAATTCCAAATATCTCAGCTGATCATTTCAGCTTGCAGGCTTCTGTGGATGCATCTTCGTGATGTTGGGGGATGGACTTCGACGAAATGTTTATGGTAAAGTGTTTCGATATGTTTCGATAGTGTTTTTTGGCAGCCTGGGGACGCTATTAGGTGGAGGCCATCGCTAGTAGGTTGGAGGCCATCGCTACTAGTAGCCAGGGCGCCTGTTAGGCAAACCACGCACAAAGTGGATTTCCCGAACAAAAACAAATGGATCACGCCAAGGTCCGGGCCGGTGCATTGCTGCTCCGCCGAGAGGCACTCCTCCCCTGGTGGAGAGTGATCAAGCGTTCAACCCGTGAGTCTGATCACATAAGATCCCCAAATAGATAGAAACGGTGTCCAAATATATAGTGGATTGAGAGGACCAATGGCACCAGTTACCCCAAGTTTGGTGGTCTATATGGACCCCCAATCTAAAGGACATCTTGGGGTCTGTGCCATCTACATATTTAGTGGGAGTGGGAATGGTCTTTTCTAATATATCTATTTTGGGACTGCTATACCTATATAGCGTTTAAGATTGGGTGTCCAATGAAAACCTATAAGACAATACAGGGTTGTCCATTGATGCAGCTGGTACAGTTCTGAACTGTTGTGTTCAAACAAAAACAACAAGCACAAAGAAACTGGAAGAGTTACCATGGGGCTATACTTTTTGGTGGCTGTGTACAGTATGTCCTTCCAAATAATCCGGGCCTGAGTTCCTTACCCCTAAGTTGGACAAGAGTTACAGGTTGCAAGGGTTTAGGTGGCCAACTGCGGTAGGTGGATTCCTTGGATTCCGTGACGACCTACACAGAAGGTGACTGTTGGAAAACAAGAAGCACACAAGACAAACACTGAAAAAAAAACATGCAATATCACACAATAGTGTTTCGTTATGTTTCGTTGGTCTCCACCAGCAGGTGGGGTTGTGTCTCTGCCCGAATATCCTCGTCCTGGAGTGATCCAATGTCACCCCCTTAAAAAAAGAAAGGCGGAGCAAAGATGATTCTCGTCATATACAAATCAAAGGATTGCACAGGCTTTCTGTTTCTTGTTTCCCATGCTTCCTGAGACCGACCGAGACCGAGCATTTAGACGATTTCTATACTGCTTCATCAAAGGAACCCAGGTTTACTGTTTTTTCACCCTAGCTTCTCAGCCTTTGCCTTTGTTGAATTCCATGCGAAGCCCTATAGTTAGACTCCCAGGTTTCAGCTCCATGCTCCTCTGAAGTTCGTGCGCAGCGAAAAACAAACGCCGCGTTTACGACTCTCTTCGAAGCATCCAAAACGGCTAGTCTCGAACCACTGACTATACCTCTTGCACTTCCATGCCAAAACGTGTTTTGTGGAAAGGGTCAATCTATTTCTGACAACTAGGTACCCATCAGAGCCCATCCGAACATCCGAGGAAGATCCGCCCTGAAGTCCACCTCCAGCTGCTGTGACTGCTGTGGATCATAGAAAGGGCCAGCAACCTGTAAGGAGCTCCCAGCAAAGCAGCGAATGGTCACCAGGCCACCAGGCTGATGGATGTCAGGAATTGACCGGCATGCATCGACCACCATGGACCCCAAATCACTTCGGCCATATAGTAGACATTGCATTCATGGCGCCAGTATGGCCCAAAAACGCCCTCTTTTTGGCGTGGTTTCAGGGGAGTTCCAGTCCCCTCGCTACGTGTGGAGGGTCGAATGAAACGAACTCTCACGGTGACCGTTGGGGACCCGGGTTTGGTCAGCGCGACGTGCTGGTCGTTCATGATGGACTGGTCGGGCTGCGAACGACTCATGACTCATGTGGACTGGTTCCCAGAAGCTAGATGGCACAAGGAGAACCAATTGCCAGCTGGTCTTTTTCGGCTGCATGGGCCTGGAACGCCGTTCCAGGCGTTCGAAACTGCGAGCATTCCCAAGTTCCAGCGTTCCAAGCTTAGTGAAACGTCGCGATCAGAGCTTGCTTCTGAAAAGAAAGAAAGCTTCCAGCTAATTGGTGGAACGCAAAAAAGGAATACCCCTTAACCGCCTTATTATCCCTTAAAGTCCAAAGGCTATCTTCATCTATGTTCCATTTTGGAACACCTACTGTAAATGCTGTTACAAGCACAATATAAAATAGTCTTGGAATGTCTTGGACTCCCAGGGTATATAGTCAACGTAGTCAACACTCATGTAGTAGCTCTTCAGCCCCATCTGCCTGATTGGTGTAGACCACGTTGGAAGCGTTGCTCGACCTTCTGGAGGCACTCCGACTTCCTGCCTGTGGAAGGTGACGATCTTGGGCCTTTTGAGTGCCTCTTGAGGAGTCTCACACCAAACCGAAGCGTTTCCGCGTTGGAGGGGGGGCTGGCATCACTTGGGTGGAAGGGTCAGTCCCTACATGTCCCTAGTCCTCAGAAGGATGCACTTGGCTTGGAGTGTGGAGCACGTGAATCTGATCAATCTTCTGTCTCGAGTTGCGCAAAGGATGACTTCAACACCATAGGTGTTGTTTGGAATCATCATGGAGCATGGAGTGGCACAAAGTGTCCTATAGTTTAAATAGAGGACAAACATATCTTTACGTAGAACATACCAACATATCAAATTATGTGTGCTTTCAAGCATGACTGGAGACATGATAAGAATACTCTTGAGAACAAGTAACCTCCATATATTTGTCAAGCAGCATCTAGGACCTAGCTGTACTAGTAGCTGGCGATCCTGCTTGTTCTTTTACCAGCATGTTTCATGTTCAAAGCACTTTCAAGATTCCTCTTCGTCCTTGGGTAGGCTGCCAAACTGAACTACAGAGTACTTGGAGGTCACTGCTCTAGCTATTTGAGATGCTTCAAGGAAAATGACTCTCCTACTCCTATTCTATCTACTGATCTACTGTATTTTCCGGCTCACAACTGCTTTAGCTGTCCGTTAGCGGATCCACACATCAAAAAAGGTGAAACACATTTCTCTGGTCAGCACTTCTGCATTCTCTCCCCGTATCATACAGTGGTAGAGTGATTTTCAAAACGGATCATTGTACCAGGGCCTAATGCGTCCCTTCTAGTGCCGTATGAGGATGAACAATGGAGACCGCAACAGCCCTCTCATACATGTTTCACCCTCAATTTCAGGATTAGGGGATATTAAGGGGAGTTGCTCAAGTGGGTTTGTGTCTTGCCAAGTGACTAATCGCCTGGATCTTAGGTCACGCAACCAAATTAGCTACAAACCACTCGCTGCGGGCGCACCTGCACTGATTGTGGATCGTAGAAAGGGCCGTAGAACGGGCCACCGGCCACCTGCCCGTCTGGCAGCCAGGCTAGTTGCTAGTGGCCTCGTGACTGTGATCTTAGGGACTGTCAAAACAAGGGAACATTAACTATGAACATTTGATGAGTGTGCAATTGTTTTCTAGCCCTTAACATAATGTTGTTTTTTTTCCATGTCGGACCCTGTACTTGCCATCGCCTGGCAAACGAACCTGATGTCTGTCAATTCCCCAAAGAAACCAAATTACATTAATTATATTTGTTGTGTCTCTGAACTTCAACACGTCCATCAGAAGAGCAACCGCTCCAGAAGTCCGAGTCTGTCACCGGTCTGTTCTTCCTGTGCCGGTCAGGAACAGTTCACCGATCCCTTGGGCCTGTGACATGCGTTCTTTTCACCGGCCTGGAACTGGTGCTGTAGATCATCGGCCCGGATTCGCCCGGTGTTCCCCGAGCGAAACGCCACCCCGACCTGATTGGAATAGACCACGTTGGATGCTCCACTCGACCTTCTCGAGGCACTGCGCTCCTCGCGCTTTTTGCGACGACTTCGGTCGCGGCGTCTCGCGAGACGGAGACCAATCCGACGCTGAGTCTCGTGAGAACGTCAAAGGAGCGTGGCTCTTCGGGATTGAGCCTGAACACCGACGGTGAGGCACTCCTGCCGCCTGCCTAAATGGTGTGCAGAAGATGCGAGATCGTATCGTATCTTGGTGCCCCAGAAAATACTTTTTAGGAAAAAAATAAAGTAAACCAATTCCACATGTCATTCACTTTCCAGCAGTAGACTGTTGGTCCATGTTTTTTGCCCAATCTTGAAAGGACTGAAGACTTGCCCAAGACTTCGTGAGACTCCACGAAGCTTTCCTCTGAGACCCCACGCCACTGTTGCACATGTTGGGATGTTCCCTTTCGATGGCCCCCTTGGCCGCGCGTGGCCGCGCGTGCGCCAGTCCAACGCGCAGTCCCGTCCCTCGCCTGCACTGGTCGGCTCCCAGTTCCGCAGGAGGTTCGCGAGGAGGCACGCGAGCCCGGCAAAGGGCAATTATTGGTGGCCACATTTGGCGGCGGGGTCTCCACGAAGACCAAATCTGACACACCTGGTGCGCAGCAGGTCGCGTCCGTCGCAGGTTCGCGTTCGTTTGGTCAGCCGCAGCTTTGCTATGCCAAGAGTATCCGGTATTTGGCCGTACACCATGGTTTTGGTGCGATTGCACTATCAGCCAACAAAAGCATCATCATCCAAGAAAACGTCAGATCAAGTGCCGAATTTGGCCGTCTCAAAATCATTCAACGGTTTTGTGCCATGGAAAAGTCTGAAGGACTTGCAGTTGCCAATGATCTCTTGAGGAGGGAAACCAAAGAGCGGTCAGAATCGTGCAGGGTGCCTTCATGTGCCTTCAAATTGCCCCCATGGCCTATGAACTATACTTAAAGGTCCGAAATGCCAGAATTTTAGGCTTTTGAGCACATGTGGTCAACTCAGGATCTTTTGGTAGGAGGCCGCATGTACTCTGACTGTCTTGAATCAGGCTGTACTAGCACAAACACCAAGCAGCCAGGAACAGTCTTTGAACAAATAAAGCAACTAATCATGAGCACATGATAGCACATGTCAAACGTGCTCGGGAGGGTGCGCACCAAATGTCGTCAGTTGTCGGACATTGGCAGCACGTGTCTCTCTCTCAAGTGAGGATCGAGCTACACATCAAGTCTTAAGCAGCAAGCAGTACACACGGAACATGGCCAAGTTGGCATCCTCCCAGGTGGCTGGCTTTCATGGATCATTGGTTTCCACACGAAACAGGTCCACTACACAGGAGTGCCGTGTTCCGAGACTCCGCACGCGTCGGCTTCCGCTTGCAAACGCCCGTCCACATGGCGACGCCCAGCATCACAACAGCCTCGTCTCGACGTCATGAGGCTGTTGCGCGACGCGCGTGGAAACATGTGGAGATCGAAAACACTCCAAGGCTTATGTAAACCACTTAGGCTATCTCTGATGGATTCACAGAGTTAGCCTGGGTCCGGCGAACATAATCCAAGGATATCCAAGGCGATTTGGTCACTCGTTTCTTCTCTCACGCACGGATGAGGATGAGGTTCCCACATACGTACGTGCAATGTAAGTGCGAACCGCTACATCGTTGGGACCTAGAATCGACGGTCATGGTGATTCGTCTTTGCGCCCACAGCCATATGCAGAATGCCACCTGCCTGGAGTGATATCAGTGTGTGAGTGCCAAATGGATCCACATAATTCAAAATGGCTTTGCATTCGAACGAGGAGACCACTCAAGAACCCCTCGGCTGAATCGAGCTCTGATTGAGAGATTCAAAGCCAACCAATCAGTTCCTATCTGGCGGCCACATTAGGGAACACTTCCAGAACACACCTTCAAAAACCGCCTGAAGTGTACCTTGGCTCGCCCTCTTCTGCGAAAGGACTACATGGGAGGAATGTGGAGTTCGAGATCACTGAATCTTGTCATTATCTATATGTCCATTTCTTAGAGGGAAAGACGGCCATATCTGCTTCTGGAAGGCCTGCAGATTATCTATGTCCATTGTAATCCTTGAATGGCCGGCCGCTTCAGCAGCGTCCCGAAAAAAGACCGCACGCACCCGGAAAGACTCGAAACGCACTTTTAACGCACTGAAGCATGGACCATTAATTCAAAGTTATCAAGATTCAAACAAAGACTTAATTAAAAGGCCAGGGTCTTATTAAGTTAATAACTTTCATTTAGTGGTTTTGCCTACCTCACTATGAGTGGTCTTCAAAACTGACATCAACTTTGCTTCTGTTATCTTAACACCCCAATCTTGAACAGAATACTCAACCGACACATATATATTATATATATTAATTTTGTGTAGGATGTGCACAATTTGTCCAATGACATGGTTCAACTTCAACAAAGAAATACTTCCTGAAGCTTCCTTCGCTACAAACAAAAACACTAAAAACAACGCACATGGATCCCTCTCATATCCAATCCATTTTGGGGTGGTTCGCAACTTGTCAAATTGCGCTCATTTTGTGGCAATGCGCGCGCGTTTTGCGGGAATGTGCGCGCATTTTGCGGGTTTCCACCTTTGACCCAAGAAGACTTCAATGTTCAATCAACATCATGAAAAAATGCTCGTATTCATCAAGAACATGAAAAAGTGCTCATTTCACCCAAACACGCTACAAAACTCCAACAAGTGTTCATGTCCTTGGTTTGCCAGAAAAAACAGGTGCTACGATTGAATGTTCAGGTTGCGTTTCTTCATTTCTGCGGGCCGACTACGTACCTAAACATGTCACTATGCCGCTTGGTGCAACACAACGACGTCGCACTGTTTGGCCCCCTTCGTCATCCTTGGTCAACACATGTCGACACACAACCCAAACGTACAACAAATGAACCACCCGCACAGGCTATAGCAAGTGAGGCAACAACAAAACCATACAAAACCGCTAGAACTCGAGTCACTCGATTCCAAACGGATGAACAGTTCGGGATCCAAGCTGCAATGCAGAAGAAGCCACCAGCGGCAATGGCCACGATCACTGTCACATCCACCGCGCCAGCTGCTGGATCTGCCCGGGGAGGACGGGTCTCCGTGCCCGGTGACCGTTGGATGAAGGTCCCAAAGGGTGTGAAATGCCGAAGGTCCCAAAGGGGATCAAAAGCGGAAAGGGGTGTGAAAAGGTCCAGGAAAGTACCTAACCATAGCAGTTTCCACGAGCTGCGTGCAGTTCGACTCATGCTGCACAACTGGAATACAAAGACTCAGAAACAAGTACAGTGGCGCCAGAATGGATCGATGGCCTGGTCCACAGTGATGGTCACAAGTCTCGTCAGGATCATAAAATCCTTCTATTTCCTACCAGTAAAACTCCCTTAAATTGAAGGATTTCCAGTGCACAAGATTGACTACATCAGCTCCTCATGAACCTCAGAATCTTCATCCCCCAAAGCCAACACTCCCACTAGGCCAACAGCATAAAGCCCCTATAACCTACAACCCCATCTAACCCCCTTGTTGACGTCTGAGGCGCAGGTCGAGAGCCCATCAGAGCCGAACAACCAAAAACACGTCAGGTCGAGGCCGGGAAGGCATGTCACCACTCGTATCACCACTCGTATAATCACCTGTCTCGCAATCCAGTGATGGAGGCCAAACCAATTGCATAGTACCGCCGCTCCTGTAATCTCCCCCTGCTGTGTAGGCTCCTGGCGCAAATCTGCGGTGGACACCTTCCAAATCTTCCACGGCTGACGATCTTAATTATATGATTTCGACTTCCAGGGTTAACAGAACCGTTCGAGGTATAGCTTAGTAGATCTTGGTAGTAAATCAGTAAATTAATTGGGTTGATTGTCTAATTAAGAGTACGCCAAAGTCGCATTTTCTTCGGGGAGGTGGGGTAATGCTTGCCTTCCCTTCTGGCTACGTACCATACATCATGACATGAATCCATTCGCTCCAAATTCACTCCAACCGCAAAACAAACAGTTCTTAGCTGCAACCTAGATGGTGTAATTCAAAAGACTGTCATCACCATCGTTGTGACCATCAACTTCAGCATGATGAGCATCATGATGATGATGATCATCATCATAATCATCATCACATTCAACATAATACTAAACATGAGCACCACAATCATGTTCATGACCAACAGCATCATCACGAGTGTCATCATCATCATCAAAAACATCACAAACAATGAGCATTAACGTCATCATCGCCAAGATCACGTGTATCGTATCATAGCACGATCATCATCATCATCATCATCATCATCATCATCATCATCATCATCAT